CCCGTTTTGGTTGACTGGGCTTTTCTCAGATTCCACCGGAGGAATACTATAAACAAGAACAAAATCCATGTTAAATCAAAATTAAGACAACGAAATTACTATACAGGTTATCCAAGATAAGGATCCAACGCATGAGGATCTCAATACCTGTGGAAGATACAGCTTAGCGTATTTCATGGCGTATTAAGGTTGAAAACTAAAATTTACCAAAATCATATTGATTTTTTTCTGATTTTATTTTGAGAATCAAAAAATAATGAAACTTTTCCATTGGCACTTGGCACTTTTTAGGCACTACATGATGGTGTTTTTAAATTTTGTGCCCGACGGATCGTATTTGAGAAACCACCACCGACTTTATTTTTTTATATGGTGCGAAAAAAGTACACCCTGTATCTAATAGCATTTTTTATACGAATTCAATGATGCTGACGTGATACATTTTGTGCTACAAAAATACTAAAAATACTTCAGGAATGTATCTTGATGAATTTCCAGGAAGAAGGCAGCCAAGTAAGTCCAAAGAGCCTGGCGCGTCTCGAAAAAAGGAATCTTTAAAGGAAACTCGGAATAGTGCTTTACAATCAGTTGCTGAGAACTCTGATCTAACAACTAAGCAAATTGAGAAAAATGTAGCAGTAGCCAAATCCAAAGTCCAATTTATTTTGGGTAAAAATAGATATTACCCCTACAAAATTCAGGATCCGCCAAGGACTTAGACCAGGGGAGAGCGAACGGAGCCAGAATTTTTGTACACACGAACGTGTGAAGATTTTAATTTCCTTTCAAAAATAATATGGCCCGACGAGAGTATGGTCACTAATAATGACATCTTTAATCGCCGCAACACTGACTTCTGGGCTCAAGAACATCTGCGGGCTAAAAAAGTATCCCGACGTCAAGAACGCTTTGGGTTTAATATGTGTGTGGAATTCTAGGGACGATTTATTCACAACTCATTAAGTCTGCGCATGAGCAGCATACAAAATAATAACAATACTCGGTGACAGGTATTCACGTCTAGTCAAGCATTTGTGTCAACGCCTACTTAAAAAAATAAAAACGCATTTTTCCTTGTAACCAGAAAACGAATGTCAACATGTGATACATCGTTAAATTTGTTGAAAAAGATGCTATCAGATACAGGGCATACTTTTTTCGGACCATTTAAAAAAATAAATTGATGGTGATATTTCAAAAACAAAACGTCGGGCACAAAATTTAAAAACACCGTATTGTAGTGCCTAAAAAGTGCCAATGAAAAAGTTCCAGTAGTTTTTAATCAAATTTTAGTTTTTCCCAAATACCTCAGTGAGCGGTTTCCAACGGCATTTCCTAATTTAACCAACGCTGTATCTCCCAGAGGTATTGAGATTCACATGCGTAGCATCCTTATCTTGGGGAGTAGTATTAAAATCTACCCTCGACATGACATTATTTCATTTGGTTACTTCACACTATTGTATGCAGGGTGTTTTGGAAACAAGGGACAAAAATTCAATTCATGCAAAACTCATCTCTTCCAGTTCCAGAGATGGCCTATTCCTAATGCAATATTGCTAATTTTTTATATAATAATGTATAATACTTTCAAAAAGCCTATCTGAGGAAAAAATGTATTTTTGTTTTATTTCGATAAAATAAACCGTTTTTGAGAAAAACTATCATTTAATACTGTTTTATTAATCGATACTGCTTTCGATATTCTGGTTCCGCCATTTTGAAAATACAGTAATTTTGATAACAGATTGATAATCAGCGAACCGGAAAACTTTAGGATAGTCTAATACAGCACCAACTGCCCGTAAAATTTTTGGAAACGCAATATAAGAAATCATCGCGTTATTTGGTTTTGGTTTTCACAGAATACCTATCAAAAAATTGTAACAAGGGAGAATATAAATCCGAAAAATGCTTTGTTCAAGCCAAAATTTTCCAATACATAATTTAATGGTCACCAATGATGATGTCATGTCAAGTAGAATACCTCGGATTTTCAAAAAAAAATAGCCTCCCAGTTTACATAATTCTCTGGTAGTACCTTCGCTCATCCTTTCAAACCAAACTATCAACTTCCAAAAAGAAGGGGAAAAAGTGTCGTTAATTTTTTTATAATATGTATTTCCATGGTAGTTTCATAAAGCGTGGATATAAGTACGTGTATTGTTACTTTCAGGCGACGTAACAGTCAACATTTGCCAGATTGCGTATGCATATCACAATATGTACTTTTTTAGATCAATACTTGCTATTGAATATTTGGTTAGTTAATTATGCATGGAAGGAAAAGGAAAATGATATTGATATTTCACAAGCAGCTATCATGAAACAATCCAATGTACTTGAAACAAATATACATATATAGAAATATGACAATCAACAATAAGCAGATAAGCGATTTTGATGTTTTTTATAAATAACTTAATAGCAAATGGCTCATCTGCTTTTTCGTAAAATAATATTCGAGATACATGGTGTTCATAAAACAAAAATACCGCCACTGTAGCATCAATATGAAATCACCATTCAGACGTATTAAGTCCTGCAATGAACGTATTTTATAATTAGTGTATCTCAGGAATATGCTTACCAATACTGCCGTACTTACAGTTCTTTTATGATTACAATTACAAAATATATCATTGATCACATTATTTAACAAGAATAGTTAGTTTTTTACTTTGTCAAATATTTCATATTAACTAAGTGTATTTCTCAAACTTAAAAGTAGTAAAACAATGTATCAAAGCAAAAAAGCACTATTTTCAAACTATATTGCTTTTATTCTCTTTATGTGCCTTTTTCATTTGTGAACAAGTATTTGTTGTTATAAATAATTACTTTTACTCCATTGAAAAATATTCTTCGTTTAACTTAACGTATCAGAAAACATGCTGTTTTTAGTGTATTTATAAAATTATTTTAGTTGAATTTAGCTGTTAAATGTAATCAAAGAATTATTAAAGTGATATTCATCCAAAATAAGACAGCGCAAAGCGCCATCTATCACATCAGAATCGTCCACTGCAGAGAGCGCATACCTGCCATTAGTTGGAAACATTAGGGATATCCAAGGACGGGGATATCGGTTCACGTTTAATAGTCCAGTCAACGTGATCGCTGACGATTCTGGCTGTCTTATTTCAATAGGCTGTACCTCCTGAATAGATGTTAGTTACGATGCTTTCGTTCGTTGTACAGAGACGAGTGACCGAAACTATGGTAAAGCTATTACACTGACCAAGCAGCTCAAAAGTTTTGTCAAAAATCAGGGGGATACAGTCTTTGGAGCTTCATTCTAAATTAGAAATACGATTTCAAGATGCCATTTTAAAGAAAAAGAGGAGACAAGCGACAATATATGTATTTTTACGCCCTTAAAGTGACTTTTTATTTCATGGTTATGTGTTACTACATATGTATATGTATGTACATACATATTATATTGTAAAAATGTACGTACATGTGTGCTTTGTATACATCTAAAGGTAAAAAGCTTTTTTACTTAAGTTTCACAGTTTAATTTAGTTTCTTAATTTTATTTTAGAAACATATACGTTTTAAATATCCCAGTTTCATTAATATACTCAGTTGTCATTAAAAACACGATTTTTGTCGTATTTCTTTTATACGGACACCCCTCTTGAATGGACACTTGGTGTCCGTCCAAAGGATAGTTCGAGTAAATCTAGAACCTGGAAAAAAGGCCTACGGCACGATCAGAAGAAGTGCAGTACTTCATACAATGAATTATTTTGGTATACCTGGAAAACTCATAAACCTCACAAGAATGACGATGAGACAAACCAGACGTATGGTCAAAATAAGAGGAGAATAATTGACAGACGAGTTTGAGATTAATACAGGACTCACACAGGGCACCCATTATCTATAGTTTTATTTGGAGTCAGCTGAATAGATCAGGAAGTATATTATTTAAAAGTCACCAACTAACTGCCTATGCAGATGATGTCGCCATAATAGCTAGCGATAAAAGGACAATGGAAAAAGCGGTAGAGCAGTTTATACAAGTTGCAGCAAAAATGGAAATGAAGGAAAAAAGTAAATTGATGATAATAGGGACCTGTCAGGCGGAAACGAGGCTAGAAATAACGGTAAGCACAGGGCAAAAGATTTTTGAGGAGGTGGATGAGTTTGTGTATTTAGGACCGCTGATTAGTAATAAAATAAATTAGGAAACATAAGTAAACTACACTACGATCATCAAGCCAAAACCCTTTTGAATGGAGTAGAAACTCCGGTAATTAATAAAAAACTTGAACAAACATTACTTAGCTGGAAGAGGATAATTTTAAGGAGAATATATGGAGGGATCAAGGTGGAGCGATGGTATGTTAGGAAATCAATCATCTATATAAAGCTACAGAAAGAATGCCGCAAGAAAGAACAGTGAAGCATATAGCATGGAGAGTTCCAGATACCAAGAAGAAAAAAGGGAGACCAAGAGGAAGCTGGAATTATGCGGTTATGGAAGATTTGAGGAGCAGGAATATCAGACACTGGCAGAAACGAGCATTAGACCTGTTTTATAGCTGTATATATATATATATATATATATATATATATATATATATATATACAAATCTAGAATTATGAATTCGATTTTCGCAGACTTTGATTTTACACTTTACTGCCTTTTACCAAGTACGGCAGCATACCTGGGTGTAATTTCTTTAGGCTCTCACCCTTTATATACCGATAATGATACCTGAAGAATACCTGTAAACCGATAATTTTCAAAAATATATAGATACCTGCTTACTCGTTGGTAGTAGCATTCTCTTCGTAGAGCGCGTTGTCTAACTCGAGTACGGAGAGCATCCAAAGTGCGTTGACGGCAGCATCTTCATGGGAGATATCCATTGTATAGCCCTCACCGTAAAATACTTGCGACGGATCTGTGCCTACATGGATCGTCGTCAGGTACATTTCATGGTCATCGTTGATGTTCAGGAAGTCGGAGAACTGAACCTGGATGTTCAACAGCTGAGCCAGATGAAGCAGCGTGTCTTCATACGTCGCGCACTGCTAAAAGTTCCGTCAAGTAGATTGTTCAGTTTATTTTCAAACCAATTTTTGTGTTCTTTCCAAATAGCTGAATAAAATTCAGAAATACCAATATACAGAGTGTTGTTTTTGGGTAACACGGTTCTTTCAAATTTTAACTTGTCTAAACCTGCTTTTCTTTTTCTGTCTGTGTCATGGTATAATGAGGGGTTAAAAAAGTTATGAGGTCATATAGATATGGCCAAAATCGATGAAATTCCCTGTACCTTGATTCTAAGAGGCTAAAAGGCCCATCAGCCCTTATTTATAATCAGTCCAGTAACCTCTCTACCAGACAGTGAGATCAAATAATAACAAAAAAAAAATAGTGTCACTTAGAGTCTATACTACCCACATCTTCGAAACAACTACTAGTGCACTATTTGGGCTTTTCACGAAAAAAAACTCAGATTGCAGCAATGGTAGCCTGATTTCTTTCGAACTGTTTGTAAACAATGTTTGATAACCCCGTGGAGCACGGAAACTGCATGCATTGCATGGTCGGCGACTTTCATGATCACTAGGCTGTAGTTCTTGGGTTAATTGGTCATTTTTCAAAATAAGTTCTTGAGAACGATGTCGTAGCTTCCGAATAGTTGTAACAATCGACTATTTGAGTAAAACGTTTTAACAATACGGACGCGTTGTGGGATCGTGTATCGCTTCATGATGAATTGGACACATGTGCTTTAAACAACGACTACGGCACCACCTACTGAAATGCGTGTATCAAAAACGGCGCGCAATTTCAATCAGTCAGTTATATATTGGCCACCCTGTACTTCCTCCCCAGCAGGCGTGAAAAGTAGAGGAAATAAAATGAAAATTAATTGGTATTGGTATCTGAACGCTGTAATTGGTATTTGTCTAGCAAGAGCGGCTGGGATAGTAAAGAAATCTAACCTGAATGGGAGGTGGTCCCTCGATCTGCTGCTGTTGAACCTCAATCGGTTTGTCTCCTCCAGCTGCGTCTTTCTGCTTCTGGAAACCTGTGGACGACTGATCAGTGACTGGCAAGACGCCTGGCACCAACTGCCGTCCTCCGCTGCCACCAATGCACTGGGGCGCCTGGTGTTCCTGTTGATTCTGCTCCACAAAAGTCACCTTTACATTAACCAGATACATTGTAGTCCAGGCAAGTTACTTACACTTTCAGCAGGAAGAAGTACTTTGCTTGAACGATGTCAAAACAATATAAATAGAGTTTTATGTAGCTAGAACCAGGGCAACCCGCGCTAGCTAACGTATTGCAATGCTCGTTTGTTCTATTAGTAAACGCACTGTTTACGTTCAGCCAACATGTCGAAGAAATTACACAGTTCTAAAAAGTGGAATATTTTTAATATGACGTAAAGCATCAAATAACCGGTTAAAAACTTCCCTCTAATGGACAAGTACTAGCGCCTTACTATTCGTGAGTTCATTATTTACTGGGAAAATGCACCGACTAAATCTCCACCTGTGTTAAGAAACTAGTTACCTTTACCAAGTTTGGAGAGATTTGCAAAAAAAATGCAAGCAAAGCACAAGAAATGTTTGAGCAACGTCGACAAGAGTTTGTTACGAACTTGGACAATCTGTTTGATATGGCGCATGCCGATGCCCTTCAACTGATAAAAATAAAAGAAGATAGGATCTTGGCTGAAGTAAAGAAGAAATTAGCCACAATAGAAGAAAAGGCGCCTCTTAGGTACACCGAAGCAAAAACGTTCGACACGATCCTACGGACCAGTACACGAAAATTCATCTTCAGATTCCTCGATAGATTTACAAGAAATGTTGCCTGTCCCAACTCGGAGCACACAGCCTGATACTAAGCAAACTCAAATGAGGAAAAGTTTCATAACTCCAAAATTAGTGGCAGCATTATATAGGTGTCAGTTAAGTATGAGAAATGCTGTTTTTATTATTGAAGCAACCATTCAGGCACTTGGACATAACACTGTAACTGTCCACTGGGATTGATAACTCTTCAGGCAGCAAGCAGGCTCAGGCAGTTTGGGATGCTATTATTGACTGGAATCTTGAAGATAAAGTTCAGATTCTCGGTTGTGATACTACTGCTTCAAATACGGGTCGCATTAACGTGCATGTGTGCTTCTAGAACAGAAACGTAATAATAAAGAAATGCTTATTTCTGCTTGCCGCCATCACATCTACGAATTGGTGTTAAAACGCGTGTTTGAATCAAAGATCGACCAAGTGACTACAAGCCCTGACATTCCAATATTTAAGAAGTTTCGCGATAGCTGGTCAAGTGTTAATCCTGAATATTTCAGAGACTAATAAGCTGCTAGTTGGCGCGCAATTTCAATCAGTCAGCTATATATTGGCCACCCTGTACTTCCTCCCCAGCAGGCGTGAAAAGTAGAGGAAATAAAATGAAAATTATTTGGTATTGGTATCTGAACGCTGTAATTGGTATTTGTCTAGCAAGAGCGGCTCGGATAGTAAACAAATCTAACCTGAATGGGAGATGGTCCCTTGATCTGCTGCTGTTGAACCTGAATCGGTTTGTCTCCTCCAGCTACGTCTTTCTGCTTCTGGAAACCTGTGGACGACTGATCAGTGACTGGCAAGACGCCTGGCACCAACTGCCGTCCTCCGCTGCCACCAATGCACTGGGGCGCCTGGTGTTCCTGTTGATTCTCCTCCACAAAAGTCACCTTTACAGTAATCAGATACATTGTCGTCAAGGCAAGTTACAGTTTACCGTGAATTGCCTGAACTATTGTAAATGTAACAAAAGTCAGAGTACATAAATGGGCGACAGTAGAAATCTTACTCAGGGGGAACACGATAGGAATTTTTCAAGAGACCTATTGACCAGCAAAAAACAAGCTCGAAAAGTTAAAAAAAAACTTCTTGTGAATTGAATAAATACCATGGAATGCGTAGATTATGTTTATTTGCATTGAATTGTTCGTCGCCAAAACTGTGTAGTAACACTTCGGCTACTTTGTCGCCTACCGTTGCCTATTGAATTGACAAACCAAAACATCGGCGTACATTTGTTTTCTAAAGACGATATGCAAGTAGCCAATCGTACTGGGTGTACTCACTTTCAGCAGGAAGAAGTACTTTGCTTGAACGATGTCAAAACAATATAAATAGAGTTTTATGTAGCTAGAACCAGGGCAACCCGCGCTAGCTAACGTATTGCAATGCTCGTTTGTTCTATTAGTAAACGCACTGTTTACGTTCAGCCAACATGTCGAAGAAATTACACAGTTCTAAAAAGTGGAATATTTTTAATATGACATAAAGCATCAAATAACCGGTTAAAAACTTCCCTCTAATGGACAAGTACTAGCGCCTTACTATTCGTGAGTTCATTATTTACTGGGAAAATGCACCGAAAAAAAATTTCCGCCTGTATTAAGAAACTAGTTACCTTTACCAAGTTTGGAGAGATTTGCAAAATAAATGCAAGCAAAGCACAAGAAATGTTTGAGCAACGTCGACAAGAGTTTGTTACGAACTTGGTCAATCTGTTTGATATGGCGCATGCCGATGCCCTTCAACTGATAAAAATAAAAGAAGATAGGATCTTGGCTGAAGTAAAGAAGAAATTAGCCACAATAGAAGAAAAGGCGCCTCTTAGGTACACCGAAGCAAAATACGTTCGACACGATTCTACGGACCAGTACACGAAAATTCGTCTTCAGATTCCGAGATAGATTTACAAGAAATGTTGCCTGTCCCACCTCGGAGCACACAGCCTGATACTAAGCAAACTCAAATGAGGAAAAGTTTCATAACTCCAAAATTAGTGGCAGCATTATATAGGTGTCAGTTAAGTATGAGAAATGCAGTTTTTATTATTGAAGCAACCATTCAGGCACTTGGACGTAACACTGGAACTGTCCACTGGGATTGATAACACTTCAGTCAGCAAGCAGGCTCAGGCAGTTTAGGATGCTATTATTGACTGGAATCTTGAAGATAAAGTTCAGATTCTCGGTTGTGATACTACTGCTTCAAATACGGGTCGCATTAACGTGCATGTGTGCTTCTAGAACAGAAACGTAATAATAAAGAAATGCTTATTTCTGCTTGCCGCCATCACATCTACGAATTGGTGTTAAAACGCGTGTTTGAATCAAAGATCGACCAAGTGACTACAAGCCCTGACATTCCAATATTTAAGAAGTTTCGCGATAGCTGGTAAAGTGTTAATCCTGAATATTTCAGAGACTAATAAGCTGCTAGTTGGCGCGCAATTTCAATCAGTCAGCTATATATTGGCCACCCTGTAGTTCCTCCCCAGCAGGCGTGAAAAGTAGAGGAAATAAAATGAAAATTATTTGGTATTGCTATCTGAACGCTGTAATTGGTATTTGTCTAGCAAGAGCGGCTCGGATAGTAAACAAATCTAACCTGAATGGGAGGTGGTCCCTTGATCTGCTGCTGTTGAACCTGAATCGGTTTGTCTCCTCCAGCTACGTATTTCTGCTTCTGGAAACCTGTGGACGACTGATCAGTGACTGGCAAGACGCCTGGCACCAACTGCCATCCTCCGCTGCCACCAATGCCCTGGGGCGCCTGGTGTTCCTGTTGATTCTGCTCCACAAAAGTCACCTTTACATTAACCAGATACATTGTAGTCCAGGCAAGTTACAGTTTACCGTACTATTGTAAATGTAACAAAAGTCAGAGTACTTAAATGGGCGATGGTAGAAATCTTCTTCAGGGGAAACACGTTAGGAATTTTTCAAGAGACCTATTGACCAGCAAAAAACAAGCTCGAAAAGTTAAAAAAACTTCTTGTGAATTCAGTAAATACCATGGAATGCGTAGATTATGTTTATTTGCATTGAATTCGGCTTCGTACACGAAAATTCATCTTCAGATTCCGAGATAGATTTACAAGAAATGTTGCCTGTCCCACCTCGGAGCACACAGCCTGATACTAAGCAAACTCAAATGAGGAAAAGTTTCATAACTCCAAAATTAGTGGCAGCATTATATAGGAGTCCGTTAAGTATGAGAAATGCTGTTTTTATTATTGAAGCAACCATTCAGGCACTTGGACATAACACTGTAACTGTCCACTGGGATTGATAACACTTCAGTCAGCAAGCAGGCTCAGGCAGTTTAGGATGCTATTATTGACTGGAACCTTGAAGATAAAGTTCAGATTCTCGGTTGTGATACTACTGCTTCAAATACGGGTCGCATTAACGTGCATGTGTGCTTCTAGAACAGAAACGTAATAATAAAGAAATGCTTATTTCTGCTTGCCGCCATCACATCTACGAATTGGTGTTAAAACGCGTGTTTGAATCAAAGATCGACCAAGTGACTACAAGCCCTGACATTCCAATATTTAAGAAGTTTCGCGATAGCTGGTAAAGTGTTAATCCTGAATATTTCAGAGACTAACAAGCTGCTAGTTGGCGCGCAATTTCAATCAGTCAGCTATATATTGGCCACCCTGTACTTCCTCCCCAGCAGGCGTGAAAAGTAGAGGAAATAAAATGAAAATTATTTGGTATTGGTATCTGAACGCTGTAATTGGTATTTGTCTAGCAAGAGCGGCTGGGATAGTAAAGAAATCTAACCTGAATGGGAGGTGGTCCCTTGATCTGCTGCTGTTGAACCTGAATCGGTTTGTCTCCTCCAGCTACGTCTTTCTGCTTCTGGAAACCTGTGGACGACGGATCAGTGACTGGCAAGACGCCTGGCACCAACTGCCGTCCTCCGCTGCCACCAATGCCCTGGGGCGCCTGGTGTTCCTGTTGATTCTGCTCCACAAAAGTCACCTTTACATTAACCAGATACATTGTAGTCCAGGCAAGTTACAGTTTACCGCACTATTGTAAATGTAACAAAAGTCAGAGTACTTAAATGCGCGACGGTAGAAATCTTCTTCAGGGGAAACACGTTAGGAATTTTTCAAGAGACCTATTGACCAGCAAAAAAACAAGCTCGAAAAGTTAAAAAAACTTCTTGTGAATTCAGTAAATACCATGGAATGCGTAGATTATGTTTATTTGCATTGAATTGTTCGTCGCCAAAACTGTGTAGTGACAGTACATACTTCGGCTACTTTGTCGCCTACCGTTGCCTATTGAATTGACAAACCAAAACATCGGCGTAGATTTGTTTTCTAAAGACGATATGCAAGTAGCCAATCGTACTGGGTGTACTCACTTTCAGCAGGAAGAAGTACTTTGCTTGAACGATGTCAAAACAATATAAATAGAGTTTTATGTAGCTAGAACCAGGGCAACCCGCGCTAGCTAACGTATTGCAATGCTCGTTTGTTCTATTAGTAAACGCACTGTTTACGTTCAGCCAACATGTCGAAGAAATTACACAGTTCTAAAAAGTGGAATATTTTTAATATGACATAAAGCATCAAATAACCGGTTAAAAACTTCCCTCTAATGGACAAGTACTAGCGCCTTACTATTCGTGAGTTCATTATTTACTGGGAAAATGCACCGAAAAAAAATTTCCACCTGTATTAAGAAACTAGTTACCTTTACCAAGTTTGGAGAGATTTGCAAAATAAATGCAAGCAAAGCACAAGAAATGTTTGAGCAACGTCGACAAGAGTTTGTTACGAACTTGGTCAATCTGTTTGATATGGCGCATGCCGATGCCCTTCAACTGATAAAAATAAAAGAAGATAGGATCTTGGCTGAAGTAAAGAAGAAATTAGCCACAATAGAAGAAAAGGCGCCTCTTAGGTACACCGAAGCAAAATACGTTCGACACGATTCTACGGACCAGTACACGAAAATTCGTCTTCAGATTCCGAGATAGATTTACAAGAAATGTTGCCTGTCCCACCTCGGAGCACACAGCCTGATACTAAGCAAACTCAAATGAGGAAAAGTTTCATAACTCCAAAATTAGTGGCAGCATTATATAGGTGTCAGTTAAGTATGAGAAATGCAGTTTTTATTATTGAAGCAACCATTCAGGCACTTGGACGTAACACTGGAACTGTCCACTGGGATTGATAACACTTCAGTCAGCAAGCAGGCTCAGGCAGTTTAGGATGCTATTATTGACTGGAATCTTGAAGATAAAGTTCAGATTCTCGGTTGTGATACTACTGCTTCAAATACGGGTCGCATTAACGTGCATGTGTGCTTCTAGAACAGAAACGTAATAATAAAGAAATGCTTATTTCTGCTTGCCGCCATCACATCTACGAATTGGTGTTAAAACGCGTGTTTGAATCAAAGATCGACCAAGTTACTACAAGCCCTGACATTCCAATATTTAAGAAGTTTCGCGATAGCTGGTCAAGTGTTAATCCTGAATATTTCAGAGACTAATAAGCTGCTAGTTGGCGCGCAATTTCAATCAGTCAGCTATATATTGGCCACCCTGTACTTCCTCCCCAGCAGGCGTGAAAAGTAGAGGAAATAAAATGAAAATTATTTGGTATTGGTATCTGAACGCTGTAATTGGTATTTGTCTAGCAAGAGCGGCTCGGATAGTAAACAAATCTAACCTGAATGGGAGATGGTCCCTTGATCTGCTGCTGTTGAACCTGAATCGGTTTGTCTCCTCCAGCTACGTCTTTCTGCTTCTGGAAACCTGTGGACGACTGATCAGTGACTGGCAAGACGCCTGGCACCAACTGCCGTCCTCCGCTGCCACCAATGCACTGGGGCGCCTGGTGTTCCTGTTGATTCTCCTCCACAAAAGTCACCTTTACAGTAAT